ATAATTACGCAAATACTAATTAATTAGCTTCTCAAAATTCTATGGTATTATAAACTTAATTCCACGATATTTCTATTTCTGCTTTCATAAAGTAATCGCGATGATAAATATATAAATTAATAGCAGGAACTTATGAAAAATATCCGTCACTCTTAATCACAAAGAGTACATTTGGATATATTATTAGAAAATGTGTCAAATATTATTTAAATTCGTTAGAAACAAAATGTAATTATTCAATGTATTATAATATTCAGAAACGTTATTAAATTATTGCCGTTTCCGCGAAGAGAATCGAGTAAATTATCGATAAGACACTTATTATATTTATAACCCCGCAAACACAGTCGAGTAGTAAGCCTTAAGAAATTGGCCAATCACAGTCGAATGTGAGAAGAATAATCGACTATGATTGGTCAAGTCCTTAAGCAGGGTTGGCACAGACCTGAAAAACCGAGAAAAGTCAGGGGAAAATGTAAAAAAGTGTGGAATTTCACACACATAAATTTGCTTACAATTTCCTTAAACTGCTCCTATTTCAAATAATTGTTCTAATTTTTTAAATATTATTATATCTGACGTTTATAGTTCAAAACTTGCGCACTTTAAACGACTTTAACAAAATAATTCAAATTTATATTTTATTCAGTATTTTTATTTGATCCCTCTTTTTCGTCGTAACTGCATTCTTTTTTTCAAAACTAATTAATTGTTTACTAGCTTGAATTTGCACCCAAAATTTTACTATGCCACTAAGTTTTTTTTGCGTTTTTAATAATATAGCTTTCCTACAATCCTTGAGTCTAAATGTTAAAATTTACATATTTTATATTAGTCATGGAAAATTTTCCATTTTCATCTGGAAAACCTGGAAAAGTCAGGGAATTTTTAAATTCATTTTCTGTAGCAACCCTGTAATAAGGTTTAATACTTACTACTCTATTGTGTTTGCGGGGTAATGGAACACGATAAAGAAATTAAAGTCTCTATAAATCTCTATAAAGTTGAATTTATTATACAAAGTTGAATTCATCTCGCGGAATAAGGAATAGATTATATTTCAAAACGTTGAATATTACGTTGTTTTAATAAAAGCATCGCGTACATTGTCGGAGATGTTCGTTAAAGCCTGTCACACAATAAAGTCGCAGTTCATAAGTCGTAAAAAATTGGCCAATCATAGTTGAATATGAAAAATAATTGACTATATATACGATTGGTTAATTTCTTACAGCTACGAATTGCAATTCTATTGTGTAACAGGTCTAAAGCCCGTGTCACACTATGCATTGTGAACGCAGATCGGATTGAGATTGCGGATCATTGAATCCGGATTTTCCGTTCACACTACGAATTCGGTCTTCAATGTGCACGCTCTGGTGACTATGGTACAAAATTACAATTATTATTATAAACAATATATAAGAAAAAAGTTATGTGCATCTTTGTTGCTTTTAATTATGTATGAGTACAAATTAAGTAGACCTAAGCGAAAAATATGGGTTCACAAATGGATAGCAAGACGAAAAGAAAATGGGATGCGCCTTTTTTTAGAACTATCATAAATGATCTAAACTGATCTAAACTTAACATGAATTGCGCATTACGGATCGTAATATTTCGCGATTCACAATCCGAATCTTTGGCTACTTCCATGTGATTGGCTGATCGACAATCCGTAGTTTGCAATTCAAATCCAATCCGCGTCTGCAATCCGTAGTGTGACACGGGCTTAAAGCAAGAGTGCGTAGTGTTGTGATGACGCGCTCGCCGTCCGCGTGACTTTGACCGAACGCGCCGTAAGTCGTAACGGCAAATTCTATAATATTTTCATTCGCGTTGAACGGTTATGTGTATAAATCTCGTTTTGCCTATGCGTATCTTTTGCGTGTTAAAATGGAATAGAACATCAAACGTCGCGATGTTTTGTAAACATCAGCGCTCGAGGATTTTTTCTAAGATTTTTAATTCATCAATCCACATTAATTCTTATGGAGTTAAGTACGGATTGACGAATTAGAATAACGAAAATAATCACAAACACTATATACAGTGAGTACAAAAAGTATTCGTACAGAGGAAATATTTTTTAAAAAAACTTTATTAAAAAAAATTAAATATTATCCAGCGAGAAATAAGTCATCGAATTGATGTCGAATCGATATCGATATGATGGTTCCAACACCAATTTGACGTCAATTCGACGTTTAATTGATGATCATTTCTTGCTGCGTAATTAACAATTTATTCATGAAGAATAAAATAGACTGTATGTTTCTTAAAATTATATATATCAAAAAGATGTGTATCGATTTTATAGAAAATATATTATCTGAAAAATAAGCAAAAATTAAAAATTTCATTGTTTGGATGCTCAAAAAGTATTCGTACAGTCGAGAAATTGATGAGTCAATTCTAAGCAGAAAAAAAATCGCAAGACTCGTAACATGTTCTCGTAAAACTTGTAAGAACTTATGACTAGTATTCTAATTTTATGCGTATGTATCGTAAGACATATGATTATCTACGATTTCTTATAAATTTTATAGCTAGTAAGAAGCTGCCTGTAAAAATATTGTATAAAAGTATAAGCATTTAAAAATTTTTACAAGTTTTACAGGAATTTGTTAAAAGCCTTACAATTCTGCTTAGAATTTAGGCATTAGCTTCTAATATTAGAAATACATGCGAAGCTAATTTATTTATGTTAGAACAAAATATATTCATTGTATAAAATTGTTAATTAATGTTTATTTTCTACAAATAAGACTTGTTTTTATAAAAAATTTCCTTGTATACGAATACTTTTTGCTCTCACTGTAATTGTTCGTCAATTAATAATTGAAAAAACTGAAAAAACGATTAGAAAGTAAACGATAGAATCGTTATTTTGAATATCACACTGACACCACGCACTGGCTGTAATTTAAGATGGTTCGGAGGTAAACTCTGATCGTTTACGCGGCTCGGCAACTTCGGCTGCTTGGCTACGTGATTGCTTCTTATGCTTCACGAGTTCCAGATGTATCGCTCGAATCGTGTTCGAGCGATGGTGAGGAAAGGTAAAATCGACGGCGAAGAAACGCGCTGGAAACAGATTGAAGTTCCCCTGAATGATTTAGCAGCGGGCGAGCGTTTCGCCTCCGGATTCTCGCACCTTTACGTTATTTAACCGCGCCTATCATAATTTTTAACAACGCCGAGACTTACGTAAGAGAACACGCAGTGACATTATTACGAGCGGTTATTTTGACGCACAAACACCCACACGAATCTTCGTACCTTAAAATATACACACGTGTGTCACCGTCGATGTCCCCTACAAATCGTGGACGTGCACAGAAAGATATAAATATTCTAATTTATAATTAATTGTTATTTCAGATCAATACAAATTGTGATGAAAATTATTAAATAAAGTAAAATGTCTAAAATATTTTTATTAATCTTTAATGGACTGTAGGTCTATTTTTTTTAATCTTACAACTTTTCCTTGAGTAAGATTTGTTATAATTTCGGTGATCATACGTTTTTTATTATAAAGGACAGTCCTTTATTTCAGGTAGCTGATCTTTAGATTTATTTACATTTTCAATTTTGTCCTTATATAATGATATTAAAAATTTAATAAATTCCTTTCTAAAAATTCTGGAAAATGATTTTCTAATTAGCGTTCCAATGTAATGTGCGAATTTTTGCGGAAAATATCGACAGACTATTTTTATGCAAGGACAATATTAGCTCGAGAAGAAAAATAAAGCCATAATAATGCCAAAATGACATTAAAATAAGTCGTGATTGAAAAGTGACTTTTAGTAATCTTTGCAGCTCTTTTGGCGTCATTTTGACGTTATGATGGCTTGTGCTTTACTTGAGAATTATGTCAGATATATGACGCTAGAAAAAGATTTCAGAAATTAACGCGCAGACTTTTGACAGTCACAAACTAGTTTGGAATAAAGTTCTAAAATTTTTATAGGTTGTCCTTTATTTTTTCTAAGAAAATATGGTCGCCGTAGTAATTCATTATTCCATTGTGTTCCTTATCTCAAAATATGACATTGTCTCAGCATCACTATATATATAGTAAAATAAAGAATAAAATATCTGGATATCGCTTATCTACATATATTATTATATTAATAATTGTAGCGTTTGCATTTATCATATTCATATTAGTAATATATTCATATATTAGTTTAATACATCTCTTTAATCTACTTAACTAGTTTAACACAAAGATATATTATTTTAGTAGAATACATTTCTAAAATGTAATTATTTATCACGCAACGTTCTGACTAAACAATTGTACTTTGAATTTGTCGCGCATAAATCCAAGGTAAATAATTTTACCAAAAAGGATATCGGAGAAGAAAAAAAAACGATTATAATGCGTGTATACAGAACTCGAGAAGCGTCATTACACGTAAGCGTTACGATGGGATAAAACGATGTAGACGCAGGAGGTGGTAAAGCGAAGAGAATCACAGGAAGAATCGCGAAGAGGAGAAAAGCGACGCGATATACAGAGAGACGATTACGAGAAGAGAGGAGAAGGATCGAAGAGACGTAATATAAGAGGTAAAAAAAGAAAAAAATATATGAGAAGAAGGAACAAAGAAGAAAAGAACGAAGAGAGGCTCTTTAACCGGAGCGCACCGAACGAACGACAGGTGAGTTGTCCCTCGGCGAAGGTAGGAGAGAAACCCCGCAGTTTCCCCGAGAGGGGAAGATGGAAAGTAGAAAGAGAAGGAGGACGAGAGTGAAAAGCGCGAGTGAACGAGAGAGATTGAGCATCGCGGTGGAAACAGAGATGTGGTAGTTTAGGCGAGGCGAGATGAGCGAGAGGCCACGAAGATACACGAGCGCAGAAGCACGAGCGCCGGAGCACTCGGCTGTTGGGGGGCGAGGGGCGCCGGAGTGGGGATGGGAGCGGCATCCGCGGGGGGGGAGGGGGAAGCACGCCGGCGCCTCGCTTCAGTTCAGTCCCGCGGTGTCTGCTGTGGAGGTGACGGGGCCGTTCGGTTCGCTCTCCGTTGCTCTCCGTTCTCTCGGAACAAAAGCGGCTCCTTTCGGCTCGGCCCGCTCGGCCGTTCGTACGTACGCGAGAGGAAAGAAGAGAGAGAGAGAAGGAAAGCGAGAAAATATCGTTCGCTCGCGCGATCGCGTATACTCCGTATTCGTTTCTAGCGACGAGCAAGGCTAGCCAACCGCGACTTTGACGGAAGTCGACCGGCCGTATATACGCATCTCTCTCCCTCCGTCGCGCTCGCGCTCGCGCGCGCGCGCGCGTTGTATCTCTCGCTCGCTTCGACGTTCGTAACGTTCGACGAGGAGCGACGACATCGAGCTGTTCTACGAGACGCGACTGTACCAGCTGTGGTGACGCGACACGCTCTCGGGGGGGAGGCGAGTGTATTATGCCGTGCTCTGTGTTCTCTCGTTTGTAATCTTCTGTTCTGTGCATTCGGGCCGCAAAGCGCGAGGCTAAGGTCGGGTTTTTGCTTTCCGTCGCGCATCGCGATCCTCGCCTCTGTGTGCACCGATGTTTTCTCCACCGAGGCCCCGTTAACGCCGAGGGAACAAAGGGAGACGGCGAGGGAGGCCAGCAGCGGGCGTAAGAGAAAGAGAGAAGACCTACACACATACAGTCGTCGTATCGATCGAGAGCTGGTCCCACTTGACGTAAGTCGATGAGTTTTGTATTACCACGTCCAGTGATCTTCGTCCGTATCCTTCTCTATTGTCTGAATTCCTTGGATTGGAATTTCACTCTGGAGAGTGAAAATTGTACCAGGGGGTCGATCGTGTATTTTGAAATGAGGTGAAAATTACTAAGTCCTCCCAGTCTTGGAAATGACTCAAATGTCAATCTTTAAGACTCGGTCCCACAAAGGTAGGATTAATTTTAATCTCGGTTCAACTTACTCCTCACTTTTTTTCAATTTTAAAAAGATTACTCTCCTCATCTTTTTAAAATTGAAAAAAAGTGAGGAGTAAGTTGAACCGAGATTAAAGTTAACTTTACGTTTGTGGAGCTGGATCTAAGAGTCAGATTTCTTTCTTCAGAGTGAGATTCACTGTAAAAGATTTTAGAGGATAGCTATACAAGGGAGAGAATGGGACGCTCCCGTTCTCCCCGTTTGATGTTGCCTTCTGTCGTTGGCCTCGCTTGAATCTGGATCTACAATAGGTGTTTTAAGCCTTAAGCCGTAAGAAATTGACCAATTGCAATCGAATTCCAGGTGAATAATCGATTATGATTCGTCCATTTCTTATTTCGTTTAAGACTTAAAACTCTGTTGTAGATCCGAGGTAACGGGAAATTAGAACGGAGAGGCCCACGTGCGATACAATGATAATGCTCGAAATAATACTCAGAAACGGCCGCGCGAATCGAATAACCTTCTTGAGTAACCGTTCTTACGCACAAAGTCAAGTTCATGATCACACACAAGGGGCTCATTCTGCCTCCTTGTAGTGTTTTGTCTGCCTCCGGATAGGATATCAAATGCGAAACACTCGTGGCTGCCAAAGTACGAGATTAGTTATGTTTGATACGTTCTACGGAGATGCTACTTGCAAGTCGCTTATCGTTTTCTGACAATCGTATTTCGCGGAAATATTTTGTACGTAATATTTGTTTTTGTTAAATTCTTAAAGGTTATATCTATCCAAGCGCGTTTTACTTTTCGCAAATCATCAAACTCCATTTCGCACTTTGTTTTATGTGAATGTTGCTTACAATTGGTACAAGTTATGTTACTTTTAGTAATATAACTTGTACCAATTGTTTCATTTCACATAAATTTATGTCTTTATGATATACGTAAATGTGGTTCATATTTATTAAAATTTAAAAGAAATAATCTTTAAATTATCCAAAATTATTGAAAGAAAGTTTTAATTATATAAATTCGTAAGGAAATTCGATTTTAATAATGACATTATTATTGAAAGAATTTTGATTTTCGAGCATTATTTCAACATTAAATGAGCGGTATCGTTTATTGTATTATTATTATTACACCGTATTACATCATTTATTAAAAAAGTTACACTGCATAATACATATTATTATTATTACCTATTGAATGTTATATAATGAAAATGTCACCACTGAAAATGCGAATGTTAGAAATTAATTGCAATGTAATGACGATTATTATAAAATTAATTGCAGTTATTAGAAACGCTTCAGTTTTTACGCGGAAGAGAAATATATATACATATATATATAAATAATAATATTTGTTTAATAATAATTTAGGAACTTACGACATTCTCAATACCGAAACAATTTAAGTTACTGTTGATAGACATTGTTGCAAAGATTGGTGAGTGTTTAAAATCACAACTCGATAGATATTTAATGATATGGTTTCATATGTCGCAATTTTTTTTTGCATTTAAAAAACGCTGTTTTGTAATCACGAAGAACTTACGGTATAATGAATGACAAGCAAAACGAAAGAATCGTATACGTGATGACTATCGAGCATGCTTTGTTCTTTTTTGCCATGTTTTTTGTTTGAGATTCCTTGGTCGACTTGAAAAACGACTCTTCCTCCTAAACGTGTTTGTTTTTTACACGTACGCTAGAAAAATATCGAATGTGTAAGCTTTCTCACATTCTTGAAAAGATTTAGAAATAAAGGATTGCAAAAAATGTACGTCAAAGCTACAGCAAAAGCTCTGGTACATAGAAAAATGTAAGCAATAAGTTAATTACTGATTACATTTGCACATCTTTAATCGGGTTTAATAACATCCGTAGTTATAAAACTGGCCAATCAGTCGTTCCATTCTTTCGAGGAACAGCTATGATTGGCCAATTTCATAACCCCGGATCTACAATAGAGTTTTAAGCCTTAAGCCATAAGAAATGGGCGAATCACAGTCGCTTATTCTTCTCGGATTCGACTGTAATTGGTCAGTTTCTTACGGCATAAGGCATAAAACACCTATTGTAGATCCGGACTAACTACGGATGTTATTAAATCCGATTAAGCGTGCCGTGTAAATGTAGTCAATATTTTAAATTTGCTACTACTTACGATATTGACTGATGATTTAAATGTCTTATTGCTTACGCCTTACTATTTATATTTTTCTATGTATCATTAGTCTCATTGCTCAAGTTTTTCTCCAGTGCGTCATAGCCACGGCAAGAAACTTAAGCAGTAAATGAATTGGCCAATCATAGTAGAGAAGAAGTTCTCTATTATATGATTGGTCAATTCGTTTACTGCTCACATCTTACTGCCTTACGTTTTTTAATGTATGTATTTAATGTATTTCTGACACTTTAAGGGGTTTAACTACCCACCCTGACAGGGTTTAAAATAAGCACAAAATTAAGATTTTTTTTTAAATTAACTACTGCATAGAATTAACTTATATTTTATATGTGTATATACAATGTTCAAGCTGTAAATTTGTAAATTTTGAAACAGATTAATTAAAAAGTTTAAATTATATAGAGCAATTCGCGCAAAGCTCCTTTGATCGGACGGATGTAACATTTCCAAGGGCGGGGGTGGTTTGAAATAAAAAAACAAAATATTTTTTTGTAAACAGATCTAACAGTTATCGTGTAACGTAGGGTTTTTTTTGTTGAATAATAATAAAAAGAGCTCTCAATAAACAAACTAATATTGATATAAATGCAGGCAAATAAGAGCTAGAACACCGTTATTATTTGTGTCTAATCACACAAAATTTTTTTCCTCCTTTAATTCATACATTCTAAAAAGAAAAAAATTTTTTTGTTTAGAAATCTGGAAAGTAACTCGATTTGAAAAAAACATTTTTTTTCCACTTAAAACGACACAACTTAAAAAATTAGTTATAAATAAATAGATTAACATATCAAAAAAATCGTATATTACACGATAAATAATCTTCTTAAGAATATTCCTGCCAAAATTGAAGTCAATCGGATTGTTAGTTTCGGAGAAAAGTTTACACCCGTCTTGAAAAGCATGGCTTCGAAAAAAAACGCAAAAGAAGATTCGAAACGATTTTTTTTCTATAATAAAATAATCTTACTTTATCTGAAGTCTTAAAATATTCTTAAAGATTCAAACTTTTAAGAAATGTAAAAAAGAAATGTTCAATTTTGTTAAAATTTTAGGGTAGTTAGATCTCTTAATCGCGATCCGGATACTTCACGACGACATGACGAAGGAACAACAAGCGTCCAGACGCTCCCCGCGAAAGCACACATGTGTCCTCTTTAAAATATTATCGTACTCTAACGGTCGTGACACCCATGCTTGGGCGTACTTGCACGTGTACCTCGTTCGTGAAAGCCGCCGGTGATAATATGTCTTCCAGGACGATGGAGATCATACCGTCGCTAATTAGACATGCGTCCTCGAGCCCATGTCTCCGCGTAATACCATCTCCGCGAGTCGTACTTTTATTGCACGCGAAGTCTAATTAAGGTAGGGAGACAAAAGCCGCCCTGGTAACCCGACTGTAACAAATGCACTCGCGCGCGCATTCGAAGATGCTTCAATCTAGCTCGGCTTTAACCCGATTCGTATCGCGAAATCGAACTCGTCCACTTGGCATTTCGCCCGAGTATCTTCGCGATACCTTCTGATGCCTCTCCCTTTGCGATATCGGCTATCGGTGACGAGTTATCGAACGAAGTTGTCAATGTCCTCGACCACCTTGTTTCGTCACGACACTTTTTTCCAAGTGTCGTGATGTCTTCTACGTTTAAAGTCTGTTAAAATTGGTGGTTGTTGGAATTTTGTTTTTAAATTACATACCATATATTGGCGTAACCCGAGTAGCACTAACGGAAACTGTAGTCAAAAGTGGAAATATTTTTTCTTTTTCTTATACTTTGGAGGGGATTGTTGTGCTAGAGTCACAGAGTTAGCACTTGTGATATTTTTAATTTTAATTTTTTAGCACAAAAAACGCGGAACTTTTTTTTATTTTAACGAGGAACTGTAGAACTATGAAAAGTATACTGTTAGAACTGTCACTTTTTTTTTATTAATAGAATGGCGTGTTAACCTGATAGCTTTACAATCCAAATTTATATAGATCTGGATATTCACTACAATTGCAGTTGCATTTACTGAATAAAAATGTTTATTTTATTTACCATTTATATTTTGATATTTTACTGTATTAATATTTGAAATTATCATAATATATTTATAGTACAATTTTTTTTATGTTTGAGAGAACTTATATGGTTTTTATTACTAACATTATAGTAGTAGTAATCATAAAACTGAAGCTTCTAACCATAATTATTTTACCATTATACAATAATAGTCATAAATATCCACTTTTCTCTCAGGACTCAGTGCGTGCTTATCGTTCACATGCGTTTGTTTTGTCATCACCTTAACGATTATTTGGTAACAAAAGATGAAATTCGACGGTATACGGTTGACGGCGTCGTTCGTTTAACGCGTCGATCAATACTTACGAGTGGCTTGATGGCAAGTTGTCTAAGTGTAACTTTCTACGGTGCATCGAGGCTATCCCTCGATCGATTGACGGAATCAACGCTCTCAACGTGCCGTGTTTAGCAAAACTTTGACGGATGTTCATTTCCGTTTCAGCAAAATTCCATGGATATGCGACGTTGCGAGATAAAATCACGATTTTGCAGAGGCAGCTATTAATATTTTCGACAAATTTAATATTAATTT